GTCGTCTTGAAGCTGTCGCGGGCATTCACAAAGGCTCTTCTAGCCAGGAGCACCTTGATCGTCTCGTTACTACGAAAATGGGCGGCTATGGACAACACGGACATTTTCTTGGGAAACAACATCTCTTCCTTGCTTCTGGTGATGTAGTCATTGCTACTTGCACCATCGTCTATTAGGGCTGCCACCAAGGATGCATCGCCGGACACGACAGCATAGCACAGCGGGGTCCACCCTGCAGTATCACGGTCTTGGACCTTGCAGAACCCGTTTTCGTGCAAAAATCGCTCTACGGCACAGCTTCCTGGGCTCAGGAATGGATCACTCTGCGGGCGAAAGTCCGGAATCAAACCTTCAAGCGGCTTGGTGTCCAGGCCCTTAAGGCAACACGCATACTGCTTGTTCAAGAGGAAGCGATAGCTGTGAAGATCTCCTCGCTCAAGGAAATATAACAACTTCTTCCAGACCATCTGCAATACAAGCCGCCTGATGCGAGGGCGATCCTGCTCAAACGTGAGCTCCCCTGCACCGGGAGCATCCAGATGCAGCTGTGTGGCAATCACAAGACTGAGATGCCCGGCGCTCTCGATCACAACCGTTTGACCATCCCCACGTTCTGCCAGCTCTCGAGCAAGCCTTTCAGAGCGGCACCATGCCCTCCTGTTTAAGCTTTCTTTATCAATTATCTCCTGACGATCTTCGTGAGCAAGAGCGGGGCAAAGGACAACGAAGTACTGGCACCGTGCAACATAGGCAACAATCGTGTCAATCGCCCGCTGCCGACCCGAAACTGCTTCTGCATCTGAGCCTTGTGGACAGCAGAGATAGTCGTACCAGACATACAGCGATTTTTCACGCAGCTCCTGCGGTGTGGGAGTTCTCACCCGGCCAAAACAGAACTCCGTTATCGCGGAGGTCCTGATCCGGTAGCTGCCGGCTAGGATGTTGCGCAAGGCATCCTGCAATACCTTGGCTTATGATAAGTTATCATCTGCTTGCTAAGAGTCTAAGTGGGTGTTAAGAAAGGTTACATACGGTCTTATTTTGGCGGCTAGTTTCCCTGCATTAAGGGTCGTTATAAGACCATGGACGTGGGATGGATGTGGCTTCTTCCTGTCATGTTCCAGTTTACCATCATGGCCATCACGGTGATAACGGTCGCGAGCATCACCACCATCACGACCTCTTCGTATCCTTCTTACACGACTGCTGCTCCAGTACGACGATGACGACGACATCGACGACGAGTACGAGCAGTGATCATTACACCCTTTATAACAAGACGACCACTGGCAATGCAGTTCCTACTGCTCCAGGGCTTCCAAATGATGATGATGATGATGATGATGATGACGACGCTGATGATGCTGATGATGATGATGATGATGATGATGCTGATGGTGATGCATGACGATGACGATAATGGCGACAACGACCCCCAACTTGCTGAAACCCCCTGCTGATGCGACATGGAGATCAAGTCCACCAGCACCAGAAACCCCCACCACCAGTGCTACTTACCACGACGGAACACCAAGCCAATAAGTCGCTAAGCTCTCCTCGCCTTAGAAAGGTGGCAAACATTCAGCTTTCTCAAGCAAGCCACAACCCCGCCCCCCCTCTCCCCCTCTCAAAAAAACAAACACACTGCAGAACCCCCTGAAGGGTCGCAAAGTGAGCCCTTCCCTAAACCCGTAACCCCTAAATCCCTAAACCCCCCAAACATTGAACCCCTAAACCTAAACCCCTAAACTCCTAAACCCACCTAAAACCCACCTAAACCTAAACTCCTACACCCACCTAAAACCCACCTAAACCTAAACCCCAAAACTCCTAAACCCACCTAAAACCCACCTAAACCTAAACCCCAAAACTCCTGAACCCACCTAAAACCCACCTAACCTAAACCCCTAAAATCCTAAACCCACCAAGTGCAGCCCCAAAAACCTGCAATTGCGCTCCTTTGGGGTCCGGATGTTCTGCACTCAGCCACTCATGGGACACGAAGAGCGCTCTGCCGAGCCTCTCCTGACCAGGTTCAGGGTTCAGGGATGTGTGGTTAGGGCTTAGGGCTTCGGGGTTAGGGTTGAGGGATTTCTGGTTAGGGCTTAGGGCTTCGGGGTTAGGGTTTAGGGATTTGTGGTTAGGGCTTTGGGCTTCGGGGTTTGGGGGTCAGGGTTCAGAGCCCAGAGAGCCCAATACCCCTCAATAATTACGGAAAAACCTTAAATCATAAGGGGCTACCTATTATGATTTTCAGGTATATTCCTTAATTAAGGGATATTGGGCTCTCCGGCGAATGCTTTGCAGATTTTCATCTTGGGAGACACAATGCCCGTTTGGAAGTGAGTGAGAGTCGATCCCTCGGTCGAGGTGAATGACAGTAGCACCCCCCCCCACACCGCCAAAAAAAAAAAACAACACAGTCCAAAGCTTTTGACAACACAACCCTAAACCCTAAAAAACACTAAAAACCACTAAAACCCCTAAAAACCTCTAAAAAAACCCTAAAAACCCTAAAAACACCAGACGAGTCTCCTGGTACTCGGTCAGGAGCCCTTCGGAGAGCAGCTGTTCGTGGGCTCGGACGACCGCCATCTGCAGCAGAACCTCGATGTGGACCTCCGGTTTAGGGTTTAGGGTTTAGGATTTAGGGTTTAGGATATGGACCTCTCTCTTAGAACAGTTTAGGGCTTTTAGGGTTTAGGGGCCTTAACAAGTAGAATAGGGTTTTGGAGTAGAATATTTTGGTAAGGTTTAGGGTTTGGGGTTTGGGTTTTAGGGTTCACGGTCCAGGTTTTTTTTTTTAGGGTTTAGGGTTTCGGGTGGGCCGTTAACCTCACATAAGGGCCTTAACAAGTAGACTAGGGTTTTGGGGTAGAATACTATAATAAGGAACCACCAGAACAGTATTGGTAATTGTTGAAGCCCCCATGTTAAACCCTGACCCTCAGAGGATTCAGGGTTTCGGGATGGCATCGCCAGCATTTGGGCTGGCTGTTTAGGGCTTAGAATTTAGGGGTTTAGGGTTTAGGGTTCAGGTCGTTTAGGGTTTAGAATTTAGGGGTTAAGGATTTAGGGTTCAGGTCGTTTAGGGTTTAGAATTTAAAGGTTTAGGGATTAGGGTTCAGGTTGTCTAGGGTTTAGAATTTAGGGGTGTAGGGTTTAGGGTTCAGGTTGTTTAAGGTCTAGAATGTAGGGGTGCAGGGTTTAGGGCTCAGGGTTTAGGGTTTCAGTCCAAGTCAAGAAACCTCACTCTTAGCACGATCGCTTGCGACGACGATGACTGAAGTGCAAAGATGGTAACAACGTGGGCAGCAAGGCGAGTCACGGCAAGAGCATCCGGAGCTCGGGGCTGCAGGGCCTTTGATTTGGGACTTTCCGAAACTTAGGGGTACTTTGTTTTGGGGTCCTTAGAATAAGGATCCTACTATGTA